GTATTTATCTTCATTTAACAGCTCACATCGAAGATTTCCTTCTGAATTTGGAGATGAGGCGACGTTTAACGAAGAACATGGCGGATTTTCCACACAATTGATAGCACACTCTCTGTAGCTGCTCACGACAATCGATAAACCAACTGATACCTGAAGACGATGGAACTTGTCAGCTGCAAAGTTGCCATACGATACCTTTTTTTCTTGGAAATAAACTCCTCGCCTTAGGCCAGCTCTTCCATCCAGTTTAAATTCGCTTTGTTCAGCTTTCATATCAGAAAGCAGAACCAAAAAGTGATAACAAATGATAAATTTAAACATTTGCGTTTCTATCCTATGCCTGTCTTGCCTGTGTATCAATTAAGCGAAGACCTAACAACTGGTTCTATTTGCGTGCAGAATCTGATGCAAATGAGTATCACCTTCTGTGTGTGTTATTTCGTTATGAATAAAAAATAAATGTACTTTTTCAACGATGTCTTGCTATTGATGACTAATTGTAGAGTAATTCTTTACCATTTGAATTAAGACAAATAGCATAAAGATAGAATAACTTAAAGAAGCTTAGCAGGGCGAAAAGAAGCCATTCTAAACTGTTCCTCTGGCTATATTTCAGTGCGTTCCCATTTATGACCAAGGTCTGATTAGATCGTTGGAGAGGGGCACTTGGGTGCCCCTGACTTTGCTATGCGACATAACTACTCTTAAAATAATTCTTCGAAATAAATAATATGCGACTCCTTTTGTTTCTGGTTTGCAAAGGTGCGCCACCCAAATCCGAAGAATGTTTATGTTGTCAGTCTTTTCCAGTACTAGGAAATTTATTCACCAGTTTTTCTCTCTACTTGAATACGTACCCGCTGATGCATTACGAAAAACGAAAGCTCGTAAGCATGAACTCCCCTACGCTTGAAAGATCAAAGTCACGCCTCCAGAAACCAGCTGATTATAGAATAAACATCGCGAAGAAAAATGATAAGAAATTTAGCTTATTCGGCGACGAGATAAATAAATTTGTTAACTGCCCTTTGCTAAGAAAAACTTTCCAACTACTGTTATGCCTGAACTCGTTAAGAAGCTTTTATATAACAATAAAATAAAAAGAAGAAGAGATGATTAATTATTGCACCAAGATGTATCCCATAGCTCTGATTTGAGCGCCACCATTTCCGCATGTATTGCTGTCTTCATGTAACCCTCCCGTACCAAATCCGATTCTGCTATCACAAGTGTAGCAGTCGTTCTCATTGTTACCAAGAATACCAATTCTAGCTTTGCCGAAATCAGAATTACCGCTGACCACATTGAATCCTTCCCTGTCACAATTAGGTAGTAACGAAGCCTGTGCACCGATAAGCGATAACCATGCGCTACGGCCCAATGATGTGGGGCGATGAGTTCCGTCAGCAATCAGTGAATACAATGAACTGGCCTGCTCGGTTAGCACTATGAATTGTTTTTGCTGATCGATCTTCATTCCGAGACAAATCTTGTGGAAGGGCGTGTTCCAATAGGTTCGTAACTTGGTCTCTTGCGAGTCGAACCCAGTCTCTCCTCCAGCAAGGTTGTACTCATTTGCGAGGTTCCAGTATGAAGAGTGAAAGTGAAAAGTTTGCTTAAAAAGAAACAAAATGAAAGAAAAGCATTAAAAAAAATACAACAATGGAAAAAAAAAGCAGACGAAAACAAGCAAACAAAAAAACAAACAAACAAAAACCAAAAAAAAGGGAGGAAAAGAGGTGTTTTAGTTAACGATCGAAGGGGCAAAGTATATGCTTGATTTGCCGGCTTGTTATGAAAAGAAAAATGGGCAAGGTTCGCTATAAATCGTTCGGAAACAAAGTTGAACTTCAACCTCCATATTATTAGCTAATACAGTGTACTTGCGATAATCAAGCTCAAAGTTTACTCTCTTGTTGTTTAATTTGCACGCACAAGACGCCATCAACAATGCTGATCTTAGCAGTGTGTAGCATGCGCTTTGCATATGAACCTAGTTATCATCTAGCTTACCACTGAGGTCTCTGTAATTCACCGGTTCCTTTAGAGGAAATTCTACCCCGGCCAGGGGTAATAAAATGAATAACATCTTTCTTTGTGCAGCTTACCTTATTACCATCCATTTTTATAACTGTTGTCCAGCCACCACTGCCACACCCAAAATCCCCCATGTGACAGTACACAGAGGTCAGTTGTCCTCCAACGAAGAGTGAATATCGTTGACTGGAAGCATTTGACCTTTGAAAAAGGAGAACTCAGTCAAAGAATCAAATCAGGGCAGAACATGAGTATGCTTATCCAGTAACGATCTATGGTTTAGTTCTGTTGCTTCCCAGACCACCAGTTTTTTAAATCGCAATTTGTTTTTGTTTTAGCGAGACATTTCAGTGTGGAAAAAAAATCCGTTCTATGTCTTTTACATGAAAACTCATAACCAAACTCACCCAGATCATCACGTTCTTCCATGAAAGTTTTAAAAAAGGCATCAAATTGTAAAATGGTAAAAGGATGCAACTTAATGACTTACCGAGAAAGGTACACGTCGTTGCATGAGCGTAATGCTGAAAGCAATAAAAATAGTTTTTCAGTCATTAGGTTTAAACAAAAAATTAAAACATCCAAATATTCACAATAGATTTGTGCCAGGGTTATATATTTTGAGTTGCATAAATCCTTATTTCTTCAGCCTCAATTTATT